CCTGACCAGACTGAGGAAGCTCAACCTCAGCCACAACCTCATGGCTCAGCTGCCAGGCTGCATCTACAGCATGAAGGCCCTGGTAGGTCTCCACCAGCCAGAGAGCAGACCAAGCAGCCTGCAGGTGACCCGCTGTCCCCCTGTCCTCCTGCAGGTCTTCCTGGATCTGTCCTGCAACCGTCTGGAGAACGTGGCAGAGAACATCCAGGCTCTGCTGGAGCTCAAGATCCTCATCATGGAGAGAAACCAGCTCCAGTCTCTGCCCAGAGGCCTCTGCTTCCTCACCAGGTAACTCCACCTGAGCGCTTGGTGCCACAGGACATTCAGCTTTGCAGAACTTCTCCACCTGATGGCGCTGTCCTGATGTCCTTCAGGCTGGAGCTGCTCAACCTGGACTTTAACCACATCAGAGACCTTCCTGAGGTGAGCAGCAACCCACACTGATGAGGATGATGCTGGTAATAATGATGAAGATAAAGGTGATACTACTACTAATAATAATAATCATGTTGGGAACCGGGTTTTGGATCTTTGTGGGTATTCTCTGCTGCTTGCCGTTTCCCTCTCCATCCACTAGATGGTGCTGAATGGCTGCTCTACCTGGTGGGCTGTGCAGAGTCAGTCACTGCTCATCTATCATCTCATCGTCTCAGAGTGTATGAGGAGCAGATGTTTCCCAGAAATGCTGCTCTGCTCCCTCTGAGCTTACGTTCTAGTTTCCTGAGGTCACCTTTAGCAACATTCTCCTTCAGGTGTTTCCTTGTGACGCCTTGGATTTATCCACTGAGTAGTTTGAGATCCTGGCCTTTTTTCCCCTGGTGACACTGTGGACTGTTAGAGTCTCTTTCCAAAACACAGAAGAACCAGTTCCTAGATTTTCAGCTGGCAGTCAGAGCATTCCTCAGTCTCCTCATCTGAAACTTACCTGTCCGCCCTCCACCTCAGCCTAGCCTCCACCTCAGCCTAGCCTCCACCTCAGCCTAGCCTCCACCTCAGCCTCCACCTCAGCCTAGCCTCCACCTCAGCCTCCACCTCAGCCTCCACCTCAGCCTCACCGCAGCCTCCACCGCAGCCTAGCCTCCACCTCAGCCTCCACCTCAGCCTCACCGCAGCCTCCACCGCAGCCTAGCCTCCACCTCAGCCTAGCCTCCACCTCAGCCTCCACCTGCCTTCTACGAACTCTCCGTCTGAATCTGGACCCCTGCAAAGAGTCCATAGCCTCTCGACCCCCGAAACGTCGCCGCAGACCGCAGTACTACCCCCCCGACGGAATCTCATCATCTTCAAGTAAGGTCACTTCAAGGAAGATCTCTTTTGTCCTACACACCTTGAACTCACCATGTTTCCCTCACCATCCTCAGAGTCCAGACGACCCGGTCGGCTCCCACCCACAGGAAGAGACGCAGAATAACATTGTTTAAATGAACGTTATTATCTGGTGGCTGTTCTGCATGTGGTTAAAAGAGCACAACATGAAAAATAACAATACTACTACTACTGATAAATATAAAAATGAGTGATGATCATCATTTATTACCAATAATGACAATATTAATGATGTTGGCCGTGTGTCCAGGAGATGCACCATCTGTCCCGGCTGGAGAAGCTGGCCTGCCATCCTCTGGACAAAGGTCTCCACATCGTCCACAACCCGCTGATGAAGCCCCTCAGGGAGGTGATGCAGGGAGGACTGGGGCGCTCTTCAATTACCTGAGGTCAGGTGGTGAATAGGGGGCGGAGCCTTTGAACCCTGGGGGCGGAGCCTCTGAACCCTGTGGGAGCCTCTGAACCCTGTGGGCGGAGCCTTTGAACCCTGGGGGCGGAGCCTCTGAACCCTGGGGGCGGGGCCTCTGAGCCATGGGGGCGGAGCCTCTGAACCCTGGGGTGGAGCCTCTGAACCTTGGGGGCGGAGCCTCTGAACCCTGTGGGCGGAGCCTCTGAACCCTGTGGGCGGAGTCAGTTCCCTCTTGAGGATGGCAGCAGAGCTTTCTGAAATCATGGTGAAGAATTTTGGAGGAACCAGAACTTCAGACCTACTTTGGTCCTGCAGGCAGTTTTCACCCACCTGAGGGACAGGTGAAGTGGGCGGAACTTCTACATTTCATTATGGGATGTATGGAAGAAACAGCAGCCAACTTGTTGGTGCTCTTGCTGATGTTCTTCACTTTGGAAACAACCACAAAGCAAACAGAACCGTCTCAGAACCTCTGGGCCTCTGGGCTGTCACTGTTATTTCTATTGTTCCTGTTATTGATACAGTTATTGATACAGTTATTGATACAGTTATTGATACTGTCCATGCAGAGGGTCTGCGCTGGAGGCCAGGAAGCATGAAATGAACTCAGCATGTAACGACTGAGAGCCGTCAACAAGGACGGCTCCGGTTTCCCTGATGGTTTGTTTTGGATCAGTTCTGTAAGTGAACATTGTTCAACTCCTAAGATCTGATCACTAGTATTTATCACAATGCTGAATCTTGATTTCCAAACATCAATAGAATCATCTTTGACTTTTCTACCTGAAACTTTGCAAAGTTTTTAGAATAATCTTTGCTGTCCCTTTTTTTGCAGGTTCTCTGACTGGCAAGTAAATTTGAACTTATTATCCAAAATAAGATATTTGCAGTTTTCTACTGTCTGACCTTATATTACTGTTTGAGTCGTGTTATGGAGCTTCAGATCAATGTCCTTTGTTGTCTGTAGACGTAATAAAAGCAAAGCTTAATATTAACGTATTATTGTTAATGTATTCACATTATTTGCATTTTTCTGATTTTGACAGACAACATTAGTTAATGAGCATGAAGTCGCATCTTTGTTAATGTCTTTGTTTTATTAAAACTCATTTAATAAAACAAAGTAGATTTGAATGATGAACGTGCTGCAGTTCCTGTCCAGCAGGTGGCGGTAGAGACGCAGCAGGAACCGTTTTATTTTCATGGAGTCCAGAATAACTGAGTTATGGATCCAAGTTCTTCTCATGATCCCAGTTGTGCTGCTGGTTCATCTTACAAACCAGTTTAACGGAACCAAAAACATGTTTACTAACATGATCGGGTCCAGTTTTCAAAGAGAACTGCTTCTCAGGCGAGAACGTTCTCTCTGGCCACCGGACACTCCAGTTCAGAGCCGGAAACCCGGAGACCCGGAGACCCGGAGACCCGGGCAGTGACGTGCAGCGGCCAGCAGGGGGCAGCAGCCAGCAGGGGGCAATAGCCAGCAGGGGCAGCAGCCAGCAGGGGGCAGCGGGTGGCAGGGGGCAGCAGCCAGCAGGGGGCAGCAGCCAGCAGGGGGCAGCAGGGGGCAGCAGCCAGCAGGGGGCAGCAGCCAGCAGGGGGCAGCGGGTGGCAGGGGGCAGCAGCCAGCAGGGGGCAGCAGCCAGCAGGGGGCAGCAGCCGCTCCGGTTCAGCTTCACAAACACCGGAAAGTTCACCAGAACTCTGATTGATCCGGAACATCTGACCCGGTATGACGTCATGACACCAGAACCCGGCCAATACGACGTAACAGATTGTGACAGAGCTGTCATCAAACCAGATAAAACATGAAACACGGACCGTAAACAGCCTGGCAGAACCGGGCCGAACCGGGCCGAACCGGAGGGAACGGTTCTGATCAATTTTATGGAGATGATAAGGGGCTCCAGCGGTTCCAGGTCCAAATGAAACCGCAGCAGAACATCAAAGTTCGGACAAATAGTCAACAAATGATGAAATAAATAAATGTTAAAAGTTTCCTGATTTTAACCGGAAGAAACAAAATGATTAAAAACCTGGACCCCCCCCCCCCCCTCTCTCTCTCTCTCTCGGTGTCTCTCGACCCCCGTGACGTCACCAGCTCGTCGGTACACCCTCTCGGCGTCTCGCGCTTTCCGTCCGTCTGTCTCGAGCGCAGAAACAAGCCGGAGGATCAAAGAGCCGAACTCACCTGTCTGAACGTTCACCTGGCCGCGCGCCGCAGTCCCTCCGCGTGCGCGTGAGGCGCGTTGGAGCGCGAGGGAAGTCCAGAACCCCTGAGGAAGAGGAGGAGGAGGAAGAGGAGGAGGCTCGGAGTTCTCCGGAGTTTTCCCGGATCATGGAGCGGACTGGAAGTTTCCCGCTGCCCGCGGTTCTCCTCCTGGTTCTGCTGGGAGTTCGGGGAGCGCGAGCGGACACCTTCCGAGGTAAGAGGACTGGTCGGTTCGGTTCGGTTCGGTTCGGTGCCTAGGGGGTTTAGCTCTGAGTGTTGGCATCCAAGTTTCAAGCTGGAAAATCTCCTCCACTCTGCCCGTCGGTTCGGTTCGGTTCGGAGGTTCTGGAAACTCGGCGGCCCTCAGAACATCCTGCAGTCTTTGTTTCCTCGTCCAGTTCGGTTCGTGTCTCAGAAGCAGCCCGGTAAGAACCGGGATCTTCCGGTTCTGGTTCCGGTTCTGGTCACATTTCCCTCCTCCTCAGCAGAACTTTGGGTTGGAACAAGAACAGCGTTTACTCCTTGAAGCAGAATTCATTGACCATCAATCAGAACCAGAACCAGGTGAGGTGTTGGTCATGTTGTGATCAGCAGATCCCAGAAGAACCAAGTAGAACCCAGAAGAACCCAGCAGAACCCAGCAGAACCCAGAAGAACCAAGCGAACCCAGAAGAACCAAGTAGAACCAAGTAGAACCAGGTCCTGAGCTGAGAACTATTGACCCATCAGAATCGACTTCTCAGGTTGAAATTTCTGTCTCTAATACGTGGATCAGAACCGTCTGCTGGATCAGAACCGTCTGCTGGATCAGAACCGTCTGCTGGATCAGAACCGTCTGCTGGATCAGAACCGTCTGCTGGAGTTTGGGTCTTCCTCACTCTAAAAAGAAAAAAGTTGATCCAACTTAATTGAATTACTTCTGTAGGTAACAAGTAATTCAATTAAGTTGGATCAACATAATTTTTTTAGTTTGTTTAACTTGATAAATTTAGGTCAGTCTAACGCAATTTATTTACTTTATTTCATATACAAATGTTTAATCCATCTTACTTAAATTTATAGAAAGTCAACTCAAAAATGTAAGTTGTTCTAAGTTAAAAATGAAACTACCCCAAAGTCGTTTATGCATATTTTGTACTTACAATAATGCTTAAATATAAATCACTTTTAAAGTATGTTTTAGCTTTTACAATAGGAGTAAAATTCCTTTACACTACCCAAAAATTCAACTTGGTTATAACAAATCTACACTGCACAAATAGAAAATGTTAAATTTTATTGTGAAATCACAAACTTACAGATTTTTCACAACACATTTTGCACTGAACATACTACACAGATCTTTTGCTTGTCTGCTTAATTGAGTTAGCTTTTTAGTAAACTGAACATGGGGTACCCCAAGTCCAGTTCTGGAGAGCTACCATCCTCCAACTTTCAGATGAATCCAATCTCCAAATAAAATTAAGTGCTCATTACTATGCCTCTGCTCAGCTGAGTGTCTGCTGGTGTGTAAATTCAGCAAGGTGGTATTGAAATAGTTCATCTGACATTTGCACATTGATGGCTCTCCAGGACAAACTTTGGACATCCCTGTGTGAGCTTGTAGAATCCAGATGTATTCCTCTGAAAAACAATGTTTTTCAGATTTACCACAAGTCCTCCTAAAATAAAGGAAATCAACATTCTCAATCCCTAAACTGTTTTTACATAAAATGTAAGAACATGTGTGTCTGTTTTTAACATCTTCAAGAACAAACTGAAAACAAGCAATAACATCTACATGCTTTCAAACAAGGTTGTGGGGTCATGGCTTGCAGCATTTAAACCATCTCCGATACTTAAGTTAACTGACATCAGAACAGAATAGTAAACATTAAGCACTGCTTAATCCAAATTGAAAAAAAAAAATATGAAAAAACACTGTGAAAGTGTCTGTGAACAATACTGCAGCAGCCTACTAATGCTGTGGCTTTAATATGCACAATGTCCCAAAAGAAATTCAAAAAGTTCAGTCCCTTGAGGTTAAGCTTCCAAAACACAGCCCCTCATGTTCAAACAAAGACAGAAAATAATCTGTCATTTGCACAACATACAATTGTCTTTACTGAGAGGTCTGAAGTCTTCCAAACAAATTCTGAACTTTAGGAGACATTTTGTGTTGGTCAAGTTGCATGAAGATTTTTGAAACACTTCAAATGTGAAGCGCAGAGGCTTCGGATAAGCCAGGTTAAGGGCATATATCAAACCCAGAAGCAGGGCACATGCTGAGGCAACTGAAGTCAGGTCATGCAAACACCTCCACTCCCTCAATGACAATGCCAATGTCTTCTGGGGATTCTTCCAATCCCTCTCCCTTCTTCCGAATCACAAACATTGCCAGGGTGAGTTGTTTGAGATCCATCTGGGCATCATCCACAGCTGCCCTGTAGTGAGATAAACCATATGTTAAACTTGAAGACTGTAACTAATCTGTCAGTTGACAAATAAAAGCCTTATAAATGCAACATTAAGTACAAGTGTACAGCTTGTGAATTGAAGAGAATCGTTTATGGCATCTGAAATATCCTTGATAAAATTCAAAGTTGCATTAAAAATTGAATAAACTCAAAGGGTGATTTTTAAGGTTTTTAGAAAAGATAATACAAGGATGTAACTTTATATGTGTTTTGTCATATTGCAGGTTTTAGCTTAAACAAATTCATAGATTATACATCAAAGCAGAATAGTAGTCCAAGCCAATGGTCATCTTAGGTTGGAAATCAACACAAAATGCATATTTCTGTTACTTATCAGATATTTGGAGCTGGTATGAAAATAGCATGACTAAAACATTCTTATTAACTTGTTTGTTATATTGGTGAACAGGAAATGAAGTTGATAGTGAAGTTAGATAATGGTCTTTGCTGAATAGCAAAGCACACCACTGTTGGATTTAAGCAGGACATAACCATGTTAAATTTACAATTCTGACACCAAATCTGCCTGATGTATTAAAACAGATGTTTAAATATAGAAAAATGCAGGCCAGAAATAATTTAAAAAGGTACAAGCAACTGACATTGAATTTTTCAATTTCCTGAATGGGTTAAGATGCGGCTTCAAACCTTTAAAAGAAACTTACACTGTATTCCTTAATAAGGTCTTCTGGATCCTCTCCAAGAAAGGTGATGAGCCCTTTCAGAACACATTCCCTTCGAATCCCAATGTCCTCCACCTGGAGAAAATGTATTGTTATCAATATTCCATATCTCTGACAAGATTTCTGATGTAACAGTAATATATTCAAATACCATAATGTGCAGCCCACATGTCCACCGGGTTAATAATGCTCTTCAAAATTATGCAAATTCCACCTCTGCCAAAATTTATGCTTCAAGTCTCAATTTGTGAAACTAGACTATATTGTTGAGGTTAAGGCTTTTTCTTAGCACAATCTACTAGGACTAATGAATATCATTTGTTGTTTGTATTTTATCTTGCAGCATAAAATTGATATGTCTACCATTTAAAAAATTAAAATTTTAAAATAAGCTCAAAAAAATGTACTAAATAGCACTAATTTCTGGCAAGTTGGACAGAAAGGTGTATTTTATGAAATTCATGAATGAACCACAATACAGACTAACTAAATCCACTAAAAATACATAAGACAGTTAAACTTGCTTTTCTTTGAGTGATATCACCTTTGCACAAAGTGTATCAAGTATTAATAATTAAAACAAAAAGTCTGAAAGTAATTAGAGACTTTAACTTCTTTGTTTTAAATTAAAAATGGTAAATGTCCCCCAGTGTTCCTATCGATGATATCCATACCTCATCATAGATTCTCATGATTCCAGCTATTTTTGCACGTGTTGCTCCTCCCTTGGCTTTGATGACTTTAATCAGCTGACTTGAGAGCCTGTCCAACTGGGCAAAGAAAGTCTGCTCAAGGGGAAGAGCCATGAGTCTCAGGAACTCCGCATTAATCTGAGAAACAAAATAAAACTTATTTTGTATCTTACAAAATGACTTAAAGTAAATACTGACCAATCATTCCAAAATCTAAGTAAAAATCCTCAATCTGCATTACTACCTCTTTCTGTTGGAACAGGGCAGGCCATCTGTCCTTGAAATCCTCTATGCCAGGTTCTTCATTCACCACCTCCTGACGCCTGTAGGCAAAGGTATGAGCCATTTTCTCCGCAATGACCTTGTCATTGTTCCTCCTTTTGATTGCTGTCAAGAGTTCAATTCTCTCTTTTTCCATACTTTCTTGTGTTTCTCCCACTGGAAAGGAAGGATAGAAGTTGGCTTCAGCTCGTCTTGGCTTCTTTATTTTTGCAGCGGGAAACACTGAAGTACTGGCTTTGGATTTAAGTGCGTTAACAGACAATTCTGGACATCCCTGAAACTTGAGTAGAGTCCTGTAGTTTCCCATTTTGTACTTCAGCCTTTGTTTCCAACCGTAGCAACCATTGAATGAACCAGGCTCTTTAAACATGGATGTTTTTTAATCAAGGCCTCTGCAACTACACAGAACTGTGCGTCCTCTGGATAGGCTCTGTATCTGTAGATCTCTTCTACTAATCTATTTAGGATGTCAGTCTTCATTCGTGGGGTGACTGTCAATATTTTGTTTTTTGCCTGATACTCAGAATTCCCTTCTGTAGCTGACGTTCAGTGTCATACGAAAAATGGGAATGGGAAAGTTGGCTGGCCATTGTTTTGTTCGCGATGAGAAGGATTCAGGGGAGGAGAGGAGTATAGTGTCATTTGAAGCTAAAGAACTGCTGTCATCTGAGTGAACTGCAGAAGAAGATGGAGCTGTTTCAATGACATCAACAAAGGTTGAACTGCTTCTTCTTGAATCACCTTGACTGTTCCCAAGTCCACAAGGTCAGAAGTTGAGCTGAGGTTGAAGAAGTCATTACCAAAGTCTTTGTCCATATATTGCAGTCTGATGTTGGTCTTTAAACCAAAGGTACCCTTCACCTTGCTGAGAAGATCATCCAGAGAATCTGGTATGCCATTTGGAAGAGTCAGTTTTTCAGTGTTGCTCTCTCCTAGAATCACCTTCAGTCTTGCAGGTTTTGAACTTGCCATGGCAATCTGAAAAAAGGGCATAAAGATGGCTCCACTGGATGTAGAGGAGCAACAGCTCTAATCTCAGCCTCTCCGAGATGACTGAGCTTCTGACCCCATGTTGAGTGAGAGCTCATCAACCCTTTGGAGGAAATTAATTTCATCTCGTTCTTTGACCACCTATTATTCCTTTTACTTTAAAATGATGTTATTTATCGAAACTATTTTTGAATTAGTTTAGAGTATATGTTTTTCATATTATTGATACAATACAGCATATTAACTAATAACTTAACTTTTTTTTCTAAATTAGAAGCTTAGTGAAGCAAATATGGCTTACCTTCTATGGTCTGATGATGCTTGGCTCCAGGCCTGGAGAGTGGGAAAGAGAAATTAACTCAAAGTTCCTACAAACATGAATTGCTTATTTTGTTTTTTGCTTTTTTAAGAAAAATGACATCTTATGGATTATTAGCGCAGTCAGGATATTATGCGTTTTATATCATTTCGTCAGTAAGCAGGCTGACAATTGGAACAAATGGCTTCCCTGACTGCAGCTCACGGTGACAAGTGACAAGCAGAGCGCAGTTGCGTCACATTAAATTAGTTTTGCGTATAACACTAACACCTCCGTAACTGTACGTTAAGATTACCCATAAAAAATCAACCTGTCCAGTAGTTCTTGTTATAAAATCTGGCCACCGCTGCAGTGCATTAGCTGCTCCCACACTTTGACCCAGTCTAGCTTCCGACCGGAACACGCCAGCAGTTCTCGGTCCACCAGCACCAGCCCTGAACGTCTCCAGTCTAAATCACATTTCATGTTTTTCACTACATACCCGGCTTCCAGCTATTTCAGTTCTTTAGGGTCAAATAAAAAGTACACACTCAAAATAAACGTTCACTAACTAACAGAGCAGTTAAGTTCAAACATGCCGAATAGCGCGGCAAATTACAACTAGCAAATGTGTTCAAAGCAAATACTGATG